GACTGGCCCACAGTCATGTTACTGCTATCTGACGTAGTTGAAATCGTAAGTGTAAGCTAAATTCCAGAAAACAGCTTGTCTTAGCTGGCAGTCTGAGGTACAGATTCTCTTTGTAGCATGTTGGGGTAAACTTAGCAGATTTTTTAAAAATATGTTTAGCTTTTTTAGTTTGTCTTCTTGCTCTTATACCTTTGCTTTTTCTATGCTTTTCTCTGCTTTTTAACTAGACAGTACGTAATACTTTCATCAGATGAAAGTGCTCGTATTCCATAAAGTTTACCTCTCATTTCTGTCTTTGAAAAAATGGACAGCGGATGGCATTTTCTCAACCTTTGGATGATTTTTTTCCTGTACCCTCTCCACTTTGCAGTTAGGTTTCTCATTCTCCTTTCCCCCCAAGTGTGGACACTAGAACTGGATGCAGTAGCCTAGTATCAGTTTCATCAATAAAACATGCATATCAAAGCAGGTACACCTTTTTGTGTGTTTCCTTAGCATTGCATTGGGATTTAACATTGAATTGGCTATGACGTCTAGGTAATTTTTTTAACTATTATTCAGCGACTGCCTTTTAGCATATGTTGTAGTCAATGGTCCTTGTTTCTGGACTTAGAAGACTGCATTTGCTTGTATTAAAATGAAATTGCAGTGAAATTTATGAAGAATGGGTAAGTTGTATCAGTGGTCATCTGGTGGGGAAAAAAAAAAGCCAAACAACCCCACCTGTTTTTGATGATCATAAAGGTAAGTGGACCTTGCATGTTTACTGGCCTACCATTTTCCATACACTAAAATTTGGAAGCTAAATTTTTAGGACTTTTTCACCTATTTTCCAATAGAAACCTCTGAAGGTACCATTTTAAGAAACTAATTTATGTGAATTCCCATTGCAGGAATCTTGCACATTTGACCCCCCCAAAAAAATATTTTTTGAAACCAGCATTGTGGATGTTAATTCTCAATGTAATATTAATTCTGCTAATGCCTTTTATATGCTCAGTACCTGTTACCTTCTTTCCTATGGAAAAGGTACTTGAAGTTTAACTCTTTGGAGAGCTTTATCAGTGAGGAAAAACCTTTCTTTCAGACCATCCTGCCCTCGTGCAGGAATCCATGTCTGGATTGTTTAGAACTGCATGAAAAGAATCTGATACTCTTTTTATTCTGCATCAGTCGGGCAGAGTAAGTTGAGGTCAACACTTCTGTTATTTATCCACAAACCGACAGCTGCGCAAAAGGAGGGCAAAGAGTTTATACCAGCTCTGAGTGCAGATATAATGAGTTTGCACATGCTTGTGAAGTTTGTGTATTTAGTTTATGGAAAGTGGAGGGGACTGGTTACTTTTGGTATTGACCTGCAATTTTTTATTATTCTAAACCTGTAGGAACTGATTTATTCTAGTCCTCTAGTGCTTTGTCAGTTAGGTGTATGCAAGAGTTCTGACTGTTTCACTTTGTGTATGTTATGTTCCATGCTTTTGCATGAAATGTTCTCTAGATTATAAGCTTTCCAAAGGTGTTTTAAAATAGTATTTTTATCTTTTATGAAAATATTGTGCCATTTGTTTCACCCAATTTATGTTGCATTATTAGCAAATTCTTTCTTGGGTGGGGGATACAACTGTGGAGCATAAGGAAATACCTTTCAGTTGCGTGTTACCAACTTGAGGAAATCTGAATGTCGTCCTCAGTATGTTTGAAGAAAATATCAGAGGAAGCAGTTTTGCTCCGTGTTTGCAAAATAGTGCATTTTGTGAACTGGGTCATGTGAGTCTTGCCCATTTTTTTACGATGTGGCAGACAGATTAAAAGGAAATCTGGAGATGAAGAGGTTACATAAGACATGTAAAAATTTGCGACATACAGTGATGGGAGCCCAATTGGAAATGTAGCAAACTGAGTTCTGGCATATGTTTTCATTGATTTTTCTGCTCTAATTGTCTGCTGTGACCGTAACTGCTACGTATCCAATCAGTCTTGTAAAACTTTATTACGAACCCACAGTGATAAATGATGGCAACTGAAACACATGAAATCTTGTTAAATTTAAAATGATCACCTCTTGCTTTGGAAGTGATCTGTCGACTCTTTTGCTATTCTGGAAAAGTACTGTCTGATTTGCTCAAAACATTTAAGTTTAATGCAGAGTCTGGGTTTCAGGATAACTTCCAATAAGTCAAATGAAGAAGTACAACTATTTGAAATAAAATAATTCATTAATTTCTTAAAGAATAGAGAGCTAGTTGTTAAATGCTGTTAAATATCCGCTGTTTTAATTTCATTGTCTACCTTCACAATATTTCAGCATGTGCAGAGTACAGTTTGGAAAAAATATAGAAACAATACATGTAGCCTGTTATAACTTCTGACACTATTTTCATTTTAGAACTTATTCTTGAAGTTAAGAAATAACTGTTCAGCTCCGAAAAGTATTTATCAGTTTATTTGGTATAACTGATACTATATTAAACCATTTATCTTACACAGTATAAAGTTCCCATAGAGCCTAAAAGCTATGTGATGAATACAGAAGTTTTTGCCTAACACTTTGTGGATTGATGCTATTTCAAAACATGGGAAGAAGTCTTTTCTTGTTTAAATATATCCAGCTGTATATGGCTAAAAAATAAAATACTTCAGAGTTTTTTTCAGAAACATCTACATTTTTGGTTAAAAGGTGCCTTCAGACACAACATCTTTAAGGAACTATAAAGATAAAAGGAGAGTTCGTATTTAAAGTTTGTATACTGCACACTAGGTATAATGAAGGATGTTAATTTCCGAACTTGGAAAAAAGGGGAGCATGTCACATTTCTTATTCCTATGTTTGTGGATGGCAATCACAAGAAAGGAGTGCAAACGGCTACATAGCTTTTTGAAAGAAATGCAAACTAACTTAACTTGATGGGTCGTAATAGGGTAGATTCCAGATTCTATGAGAGAAGGTGGGAAACATGCTTTGTGTGTTTTTGTCGACATAACTTGAAACCGTGGGGATTTCATCTTTATCCGCTTTGTTAGAACTGTCTCCACGCAGGCTGAAATGTTCAGAGCAATTTGTATTCCATGCATCTACCAGTTGGTCTTGTTGGTTTTCTCTCTCAATGGTAGTAAGAAAATCTTTTAAAACTTGCTTGAATATGTAGACTATTTCCCAAGGTAAAACATCATTTTCTGCCAAGACTTCACGAAATCTAGAAACAAACAAAAATTGAAATCTAATCATCATCCTCGAAAACCCTCTTCTGTTTCCTCTCTGGTCTTTTGAGGGGAGGGGAAGGAGGAGGAAATGACTGCATTCTAGTGTCATTTATTCCTTGCTGCCACATTTCCCCACACACCTCCCCAGAAAGATTCTAGGAGGAAAAGAGCTCTAACAATGCACTGGATGTGATCCAGCTATTATGAGGATTGAAAGCTATTGTTTTGGTTGTTTTTTTGTGGGTTGTTTTGGGGTTTTTTGTTTTAGTTTTTTTTGGTCCATCTGGGTAACTTGATTTAAACTGACTTTGCCCTTAGGTATATTCTGGGCTTTAAAAGGCACATAGGCTTGTTCTGTCACTTCTATGTGTCTCTAGAAAATGTATTTAAAATACAGGCATAGGAGAATTTTTCTTTGTAAAGTGTGTGTGTGTGGGTTGTTTGTTTTTAGAAAATGGGGATTTTTTTTTTTTTTTGACACTGACTTGCTAGTTTTAGAAGCTTTCAGGTATTTTGGACACTGAGGCTGGCTTTCTGCGTAACAGTGCATTGCATTAGTGCTTTAATTTGATTTTTGGTCATGGGGTCACTATTTAATTAATATTGTAGATAAATAACAGAGGAAAAACTGAAAGTATTGAAAGGTCACATGTTTAAGCATGTGAGACTTCCCTTGTTTTGGATTAGACCAGGAAAATCCTGATTAAAAACTTCCTTCAAGTACAACGTATTAAAGTAAAGATGTAATTTCTAAAACATCTGTAAAAATATGTTCCATTGTTACTTTGGAAGAAAGATCAGAGCCAAATATAAGTTTGGATTAGGTAGAAGAAACATCTTTCTTATGATAGAGTACTGAAAGTTAGAGAAATGTGAAACAATTACCTGCTGAGAACAGTTCCTGTTTGGCAAGGCTGGATCTGTGAACACAAAACTTCGAGCTGCCGTTGCTCGGTAGCTGGAATTGTCGCTTGAGGGTTTTGGTAGTTCTTCAGCCAGTTGTAATCCATGCCTGTCTTCTGGACTTTTTGTTCATTTTCAATCTCTTGCACTAATCGTTCCCGCTCTTTCAGGTGCCATTTCAATTCCCTCAGTAGGGTTTTTGTAACTACTTCTGATCCAGGATTTCTTGTGGGTTTATAGGAATCATTTTTTGACCATTTCATCCAGCCAAAAAGTGGCATTTTTAAGCTGCGAGGGGAGAGAAAAAAAATAAATTTTGCTTATTTCTGTCTGACTATTAGTATTCATACCTGTAGACTTCCTTCGTAGCAGCTGAATATTTAAAGGAAACTTTATTAATGATTCTAAAATACTTTGCAGTACAATGTAAGTAGTGACAACAATAATCGCCAAGCCATAATTAAATTTGACAAGCCTTACATCTTATAATATTTTCCATCTGTTTTCTGAGTTAACAGAACTATGTGAAGTTTACAGCATTTAAAAGTGCATGTCTATCATCTTGGAAATATTTTTTATTCTGGTAGTATATATGGTTTAAAAAAAAAACACCAACAAACCAAAACAAAAAACCCACAAAAAACCCAAACAAACAAGACACCAATCCCCCCCCCCCCCAACAACCAACCAACCAAAAAAAAAAACCCCAACAAAACACAAAATTGGAAGTAACCTGTACATTTAAAAAGTGACTAAATAAAGTTAAGTGCTGGAGCGCCGAGTGATCTGTTTTTAAAACTTCTGTATAAATTTTTATTTTAAATAGATTCTAGTTTACATAACTTGGAAACAGGAGTTTGGTGGAATAGGCTTTTAAATTACAGTTTGTTACAAATCATGCAGACACAAGCATGCTAATTGGAATAAAATAACATAAATTACCTTCGCAGTTGTCTGTGAACAGTGTTGTTTCAGGTGAGTTTGCTTGAAGGTCTCTTATTCTAGCATATCCTGTTGCCAGGCTGTTACTACTGCTGGAAGAAAACAAGGTTTTTTCTTTCTTTTTTTTTTTTTCATTTACTCAAACTGTGCTTAGAAAAATGACTTTCTGTACTGAATATGACAGTTTAAGTTTTTCTGCTTTTAAGGTTCTTTTTCATCCTCTGTACCAGAGAGAAGTAGTAATCCATTTAACCTAACATGGTCTCAAATACTTTCTGCAAAGTCCATTAAGATCTCCTACCTTTGAATTGAGTTCTGCCGATGGCAGCAATTTAAAAAAAGATGGTAAAAATTTCAAATGCTTGTTGCTAAATCCATCCAAAGGTATTGTTGGTAGTGAGATGAATAATGATAGTCTGAAGCAACTACAGACGTGCTTCTAGCTAAAGTTAAGGCTGTCGTATGATGTGATGCTTGGCTGTGCATAGCTGTAGGTCACAGTTTAGAGCTGTGTTTTCATGCCCGTAGAGTGCTAAAAATAACTAGACTTTCAGGCCATTGAGATGCTGGAAGACTTTTCTCCCATTAGAGGGGGATCAGGCTGTTCTTCCGTCATTTTTAAACAGCTAAGAATAGTCTTTCTCTAGTAAAGATCATCTAAAGCCTTTGTTAAGTGAGTGTTGACAGAAGAGAGATATTTGACAGTCGCTTAGGATTTTGTTCCTGTATTAAATACTTCTTCCAGATGCATTTCATCAATCTCGTGGTACTACACTTTTTCAATACTGTACATAGCTGTTAGCATTTTTAATTAACATTTCAAATGTGTTTAAAGAAGACAGTCTGTAACACCTATGGTGTGCCATGAAGGACACATTAATCTAATTAAAGGAATAGAATGATAGATGCAAATTGAGGTCAAACTGATCTAAAAAGCCCAGAATTGTAAGTCTTACCACAGATGTTGATTCTCTCTCAACTGGCTGTCAGTTGCCTGCTCCCTCTTTCCTTGATGAGTATTTTGAGCATATCCATTTTTAAGATTTATTTTCAGGGATGGCATTGTGCACACTAAAGGTCGCTGAAGCAGCCATTTTCCGTTCCAGTTATCAGGTCTCTTCCTATTAATCTAAACAGTAGGCATGGTATACGAAATGCCTTCTCTTCTGCTCTTTCTTGTTCTAATGAATGTCGTTGCTCCTGTAAGTATTTTTCATTCCTACTTTTTTGCCTCCACTGGTGTGTTGAATTATTGGGAGAACAAGGGTTCTGTAAATTTGTTCTAGATGTCATACAACATAAAGGATGACGTGTATGGCTGTTATTAAAGCTGATATTACTTATACATTGGAAAAATTCAAATGTCAGTATTAATCCTCTTCAATGGGAAGGTTTTCACATTGCATTGTATGTGGTACTATGAAGAAGGAAGGGGGCTAGGTTTATGATGACAGAACTGTCCTGACAGATTTTCAGATGAAATTAAAATGCTCCTTGCCATCTCCTTTACAGCACAGTTAACATGTCACCACTTTTTTTCCACTGTATCAAGTCAGAAAGTAGACTGCTGTACAGTATGAAACCATCAGAGTGTCTTTGCAAATTAAGGGGATACATACTGGAAGATGTGCAAATTAATTGAGAAACCTACAATAGTGTTTTTGTTTTGTGTGTTGTTGGGGTTTTTTTACCTAATCTTTGGTTGTATCATCAAATTTTGTGAGGCAGGATACTGCGAATGGTACTTATCTTTCCATTGGTAGGAGAACATAAAAGCTGAAAGTTTGTATTGCTTCTACTTCTGTACGTGTTTTAGTTCTGTCTTCAGGAAGAGATGACTGCTCATGTGAAGCTGGCATTGGGAACTGGAACTTCAAAGTAGAGCAGTATTTTATGCAGTTGCTAGCCAGTGATTAATCCTGGAAACTTTGTGGAGAGTTACAATTCCATCCAACTATCCCCAAATGTACTCATGGTTCTGCAGTGCTGTGTTGGGATGCAAGTTTTGGTTTGACTTTGGCTGATAGTGTGTCTGTTCACTGAAGGCATTACTGAGTTTGTTTTTGTTAGTAACTACAGTTATTGTTATGATTTAACCTGGAGGGGGGGAGGCTATATTTTGATTCCTGTCATTAATTTTTAGGCAGTTCCTAAAATTACAATAATAAAATGACAAATGGTGTGAAGTCTTTTCTACTTACCTTTAAGTTTCTTGCCTTTTTTTTTTTTTTTAAATGTTCTTTGACTCTCTCATTATTGGGGAAAAACATTTTGGGCTCCTTAACGTTCATCTAGCAATCTTGCACTTCAGTCTGTAAATTTAGGTAACTCGGAGATGCTGTGTTTTTAAAAGTGATTCAGGGTCTTAAGCTTCTGAATCTCTCGACTTTGGTACTTCATCTCATTACTCACTTCTGCAAATTTTCTAAAAGTTTCAGTCCTAGCACTTTTGCTTTCTTACTGTAGCATACCAAAACTATTTTTATAGTTTTAATTTCCCTTTTCTGAATTTTTCTTTGCTGGTATTAGTGACTAAAACACATTATAATAATTGAGTGAGACCATAACACTAGTTATATAATGATGAGTAATTTTTGTCTTTTTTAATAAGCCATAATTTACTCTGCCACTGCAGCAGAGCAGTTGTTTGCTAATTGATTTTTTCCTGTAAATTAACCCTAATTGTCTGTGTGTATAATATAAAATGTAAATTGAAGATTCTTTGAACTTTTTTTAACTTTCCTTTAACCTCCTTATTTTACTTTGTTTTCCTAATTTTCGAGGCAAAGAATATAATGAATTCCTAAAGCATCTGTTTTTTCTATAACTTAATAATTTTCTTTGAACTGCAGTGAATGATATCTCTGCTTATGTAGGTAAATCAGAAAGGATATCTTCTCATATAATCATTTCTTATTCTTTCTTTTAAGATAACCGTTCCTTTTTCTGTAGCATATTTTAGGCTTGTTTTCTGCAGCAAGAGCTGCTGGAGCCAAAGTGCAGATTTCGTTTCATAAATCAATTCCAACAGTTTTAGTGGTCTTTCCTTTCTTGCTATGGCAAGTCCAGGTTCATCAGCAAAGAGCCTTATTCCAAAACAATAGCCTTTCAAGAGCACATGCTAATTGAAAATTGATTGGGGAAATAAGGGTGGCAGCCAGTGGATAAAATGGGATCTCTTTTCTTGCATGTAAGACGCACAGGTTATTTCTTTCTATTTTAAAATGTCTATGTACAGAACATACTTTTTTAAAACCTTGGTGATAGCTTATTTTTATCCTGTGGACTTCTTGGTACCAAAAAAAATGTGTTCCAAAGTGTCAATGTCTTCCTCTTTCTCCTATACTCATTATTCTCCACCCAACCCCAAGTAAATGGGAGGTTCACATCAAACAGTTCTTGCGTTTTGAACTAATTGTCAATTCTACCAGTTTACAAAGATGTTTCTCACTTAAGCAGTTGGCTAGGAGACTGCGTAACCTGGTTTGTGGAGATGTTAGAGGAGGGGAAGAGAAAAGAGGAACATCTCATTTTTCCTCTTCCTTAAGAGAGTACAAAATACTTTTCCTAGCAATTCCATAAGCAATAACTAGATGATTGTATTGCACTGTGCGTATGGTTTCCACTGCAGGTTACTCTAGCTATGTAACTTAAATACTCATGTACTTCTCAGAAGCCTTTTTCTAAAATAACAGTAGAAGCGGAGGCCTGTGGAGAAGCTCTGATTGCATGGCCATGCGGCTAGATGTATTGACTTGTGTCTCCTGTGCCTTCAGACAATGTGAAGAATAAATGCTTTACCTCAAGAGTGGTTGAACAGAGCTAGGGAATCTAAAATAGAGGTTTGCATGGCAGAGCTTGTGTGTAAGGAGGTTGTTAAACATTTGCATCAGTACAGGTGAGTGAAGACAACCATACATGAAACAATGGAACAATCTCAATGCATCTCTGCAATAGTGACTCTGCTTTGTTGTGGTGAGGATTTCTTAGGGTTATGGTGGATATATTTGGTTTCCCCACAGCTTTTAGCTATGCTGGTCTCATGACATTGGCTTACAAATACAGAAGTGAGGAATCATTGAGGTAGCTTAACTTACATTCCCATAGCTATGCGAATACACAACGTAAGCATAGTTTACGTGAAATTACTCCAGAATAGATTAATATGGAAAGGTGTGGAGGGGGGTTCCCTACTGGCTTCAGTAAACATAGTCACAGCCTCTAATTTAGAAGGTGATCGTCATAATGACTGGCTCTATGGATCACCAGTCAGAATAACAAGCATGCCCTGGTGCGTGTGGCAGAACAGTTCCTACTGGGGCCATGTGCTCTGTTTATTATTTTCTTTCACTCTTAAATATGAGGCACTGTTCCATTTACTGTTTGATTTATTCTGGTAAGTAGGTATATTTAGGGAGTCTGTTACTAGTTCTTACTTGACTGAGGGGAAAGGAGCGTTGATCTGGTGTGGTGTTAGTACATGCCATCTTCAAAGAATTCTTCCTAAGACTGTGCTGCATCCATGGTGGCAGTAACATTCTGGATGTGTTTTGTACTGAAGAGATGCATCTAAACCCGACACTTGCTGTGAGAACCCTCAGTTTCGAAGTGGTTTTGTTCAGCCACGTGTGTGGCTTATTGTGAAGGCTTGGAAGTCCAGTTCATGGCTCTAATCTTTAACCTGAAAATGACTGGTACTCAGAATGTCTCATCTGTTCTAGGAATTGCTCTTTTGCCTCTTTCTCTTTGACATCACAATTGTGAGGGGGAACTTGACAACTAAGATATTCTGGAATCAAATAACTGGTGTGAGGCTGCAAAGATTCTGCATTCACTTAAGTAGAAGTATCACTTGCTTTTAAAGTTCTTCAGAGTTAAAACCTCTGAATCTCTCCTTGTCAATACTCTTACAGCTTTGTATGTTACCAGCTAGGAGCCCTCAGCTCTATGTTGAAGGTGTAGCACAACTACAGAGTAAGAATATTTACGTACACTTGTGATGTAAGTACAACAGACAACATATGGATTTAAATAGC